CATGACCCGCGACACTTCCTAGATGCAGGGATTAAAATGGAAATAAAAGTCGTGCGAAAGACGGTGTACCTCGAGCACAAACTGCCACTACATCCTGCATTAATCACGGTATTGGGCTGCCTGGCGGTATACGCACCTCATCTTCAGGAACGCCGAGGCCTATACCCGATATATGCTACGAAATCAAAATGTTCGGACGGAAAGGGGAGGCCATCCAAGCTGAGGAATGATTAGAAAATGAAATTGGCTGCGCGTGAAAAGCAGGCTGACAGATTGCCATGCACCCATCTAAGACGGCTTGCTAGGGCGCTCGCTATAGGCAACGCGTGCGGAGAGTGGCCCGCGTCTTCGAGGCTTCGCATATAATATGCATCGAGCTGCAGCAGCTCCGGCTGGATGTCCTTGAGGTCGAATCCGATTATTTGCGCGTTCTGGTTGCGCGTCAGGATAGCGCGAGAAGCCTGAGTACGCGACTCACTGGCCATTGCTTCGCGGCTTCCAGTGCCCAATAGCCTCCCCCGCACCCCAGATCAAGCACAACCCTTGGTGGGATGTCGAATTGGTGCATTGTAAGCCCCCCAAAGCAGCTTCGGAGAAACATCTGATCCCAGTTATCACTGCAAGAGTATTGGACAATGTCAAGAGAGCAGACGAGCGGCTTCACAAGTTTATCATGGCGGCGGAATACTCGAGAGGATACGGGATTTCGCCGGGCCTGCGTCGACTTGACCGCTGCTTCAGGAGTAGCGCCTGAACATCCTTCTGGGACGTCTGGGGCGCGGAGCCAAAGGGCGGGGGAGGGGGGCGAAGGATATTGGTCATGGTGGTGGGTGCAAAGAAAGATTATCGCGTCGCTTGGGGAATAAGTAAAAAAAGAGGCATTGCGGTAAGGATATTCACGCCGGCTTCCCCATTTGGCCATGTTTATTGAATAATTTGCCACGGGGTCCCAGCCGCCGCACCATCAGAACAAATGCTCACTCTTCAACTTGCCCGCCGTCAGCTCGCAACCCGCGCCCGTCCGCTACTTGCCCGCTGCTATGCGACTCCCCCCCACGAGCCCAATCCCCAGCTGAACGGCTACCCAGAGCTCCCCGATGTCTCTTCCCAGTACAAGCCACCGCTGGGCTGGCAGGACCAGCTTTTACGACGCAACTTTGGCGACACGGTGCGCGTCCTATCCCCGCTGTCGCGTCTTGTTCTCATCCGCACCCCAGGTCCACCACCATGAAGAAGTTCATTCGATGTGGGGACCCGACATCCCCGTGATCCCGCCCAAGCAGGCTCTGCGCCAGTTCCTCATCGCCGCAGGCTGCTTCGTCGCGGCCGGCCTCTTTATGCGCAGCTATCTCGTCCCGGAGCGACCCGCAATCCCCCGCGAATACCCATTCGGCGGGCTCGAAGTGGAGCTCGGGGGGAACAAGGTACGCCACTCGCATGTCCCCCTACTTACCATCATCTTGACCCTTGCCAGGCTAACCCTGAGGCCGAAAGTAGCGATGAATGATGCGTTGAATCCGTGATGTGTGCCTAAACTAAGCAGCTGAGACTTAAGAACAACAAAACTAGTTCGATCAGGACTGTTGCGATGTGAGACATTGAACATTCATGCGAGCACCAGCCCAATCTCCTGTCCGCTTCAATTCACTCCTGAGCGGAACGCCATCACTCGGCTACCGCCTTGGTCAACACATTACGGGATTCTTGCCGTTGATTTCGCTCTTTTTCGCTCCTTGTGCATATGCGATGTTCCATGTGCAATTTATTTCGACGCGTTCACTGAACTGTTTGTCGGCTCTCGGCAGATCCTTCTCCACCGTGATGTTTGACTCACTCAAGTCTACTCAAGGTAAACTGTGCTCCAACGGAGATATCTGGATAAACGGATGGCCTCGGATGCCGCCGTCCGCCGTACGGCACCATCTCGGTGTTCATCAGAGTTCCGCACACAAGATACGCGACGGGAAAGCTATGGGGAAACCCTGAACGCGGCTCCGTGGATTTCCGAAAAACTGACGCGAACCGTTTTCACGACAACACCACCAAACAACCGTTACGATCCCAATATGGTAGTCTCGCTGAATGAGCTCGTTGCGTATGTACGGCGATTGCGGGCTACCTACTCAATGCGATAACCGACTCAGCCGGCCATGCCGGTGAACGTCCAGGTTTGGTTTGCATTTTGACTGCATAATGATCGGACCAAACACGGTCAGCCACCAGCGCCTCTCTCTCCTCAACCACCACCATCTCCGCCGTCAGTGAGTTCCCGCCAAACTCTGAACGTTCATCCGCTTCTCAAGTATCCACAGCTCAGTGCCTCGACTTCGTATGAACCGCTCGACCGACTTGGTGTGGACCACCGATAACCTGGGGGGTGGGCGGACGCGGCTATCGGCGCAGGGGAGCGCGTTGGCGGCTAGGGGTGAACTCTACGCCGTGCAGCGCGTCGTCAAGTACCTCCTCGTCGGAACGCTTTTGCCTGCCCCTCAGGTTCGTGGTATTGTTTCACTGGTGTGGTGTCGTCGTGTGTGGGTCTCGTTTCGCGCGGGGGGCTCGCCGAAGACGACCGTCAGCCTCAGCTCGACCGACAACTGTCAGCCGCATCATCAAGTTTTGCGCAGGTGCCTCGACTCGACTGATCGTCAGCCGCATTCATATCGACTCGATGGACGACTCGACGACCCTGGGGGGTGAGTGGACGCGGCTACTGACGCAGGAGAGCGCGTTGGCGGCTAGGGGCGAACTCTACGCCGTGCAGCGCGTCGTCAAGCACCTCCTCGTCGGAACGCTTTTGCTTGCCCCTCAGGTTCGTTAGCGTGGGTGTGTGGGTGTTGTTCGCGCAGCTATCTCGACCGACGACCGTCAACGTATTCACGCGACTCGACGGACAACTCGACAACCCGGGGGGTGGGCGGACGCGGCTATCGACCGAGGATAACGCGTTGGCGGCTAGGGGCGAACTCTACGCCGTGCAGCGCGTCGTCAAGCACCTCTTCGTCGTAACGCTTTTGCCTACCCCTCAGGTTCGTTGGTGTAGGTGTTATTTGCGCACACAGCTCGACGACTGTCAGCTCCATGGTCAAGCTTGACTCTACGGACAACTCGACGACCTGGGGGGTGAGCGGACGCGGCTATCGGCCGAGGAGAGCGCGTTGGCGGCTAGGGGCGAACTCTACGCCGTGCTTTTGCTTGCCCCTCAGGTTTGTTGGTGAGGGTGTCATTTCGCGTGGCTGGCTCGACCGACCATCAGCCTCAGTCAGCCGCACGATCAAGTTTTTCGCAGGTGCCTCGACCGACGACCGTCGGCCGCATTGACATTTGACTCGACGGACAACTCAACAACCATAGAGGTTCAGTGAACGCAGCTATCGACGGGGGAGAGCGCGTTTAGCAGCTATGGGCGAACTCTACGCGCCGTCAAGCACCTCCTGCCCTCAGGTTCGTTGGCGTGGCTGCGTGGGTGTTCGCGCATCTATCTCGACCGACGACCGACTGCCTCAAACTCGACTCGACGGACAACTCGAGACCTGGGGGGCGGGCGGACGCAAGGAGAACGCGTTTGGCGGCTTGGAGAGAACTCTATGCCGTGCAGCGCGTCGTCGAGAACCTCCGGGTCGATCCATTGGCTTCCCGATTTTTGAGGTTTCAAATTGGAGTCGGCGAGCATCCGCCTGCAAGTGGCAAGTATTCCGAGAAATCTCGGACTCGCTTTGCCCAATTTCATCGCACAAGTCGCTTCAAATTCGGACTCGATGAATTTTTTTCCTAGGTTGCACCTTTTTTTCGCAAAGTTTCGAAATTTCGGACTTCGTGCAGTTTTTGCATTTTTCTGGCCGGCCCGCTGTTCGCTGCGCTCAAATATACTTGGTATTGTGTGCCATTCTCAAGAATCCTTGGTCTCGAGGTCCCGCTCTTCCCTCTACTCAAAAATATGCATGGCGCAGTTGGAAGCGCGCGCGCACAAAGGGCCAGGGCACAGCCACTGCACAGCCACCGCCACAATAGCGCCACCACGTCCCCATCACCACAACTACTAGGGTTAGTAACTCTCACCAGGTCTCGCCCACCGGTCGACGCTATCCCGCCGCCGTCGGCGCCCCTTTATCTAGACGTTGCTCTGCTGCTGCCTCCGCTAGCTGACTCTGCCGACAACGCCGCCTAAATATTCATGGCGCGTTTCAAGATGCCAAGACCACCCGGCGCAACAAGTCCCTTCCAGCTCACGTCCGTCGCCTGGCCCACCGCGTAGTTATTTTACGTCCGTGCGCATGCATCTCCGTCCCGCTTCCAGGCCTTCTCCGATTTTTCCGACCCATCGGCGACAGTACCGCGACAAGTCAGTGCCGTAAGCCTTGTGCCACCATCTTAGCTTTGTGGCGTCTCGTTATAATAGGTTGGTTACACTTGAAGTGAATGATAAGAAATCATATTCTGGACGGTTGTCTAGACCCCGCCGACATCTCCTGGCTCATACCTGCTCATACGCGTCTTGCAACTCCATCGAGGTTCTGTGTTCTCACTCAATATATGGCCTTGCTTGCTAGACCGGATCGTAATCACAACGTCCCCCTCTAACCATTCCAGTCCCCGGTAACTTAACTCTTCAGGATATTACCGACCCAACTCAATTGGACTAGACAACTCTTCCTCAGCTCAACTAGCCTTCTGGACTGCAACATTGTGGAACTGATGTCTACTGGCTCCCACTATCCTAATAGCCAGCTCATTCTAGTCCAGCACAACAAGCCCTAGTAACAGAAAATGGAGGCTTCTTCGATCCATTGGGGGATTTTCACCAAGTCGTCACCTCTATCGGCCTTGGTGTATTCTAACCCTTGGTCCTACCGCTAGCATGACGCAGTTGGAACGGCGCTGGATCTGTTAAGCTTTCAGCAGCCCGAGAACGCAATTCTGGGAGTTTTGGGGTCATTTTTTGTGAGCACTTTCCTTTTCCGATCTTTTAAGGCGATAATCCTCTACCATTCCTCTGCATTTATAGCAGCATGGCGCAGTTGGAAGCGCGCGGGGCCCATATCTCTGATTACGTAATCGGATTATGTAATCCTTGGTACCCCGAGGTCACTCGATCGAAACGAGTTGCTGCTATCTATGCTTTTTGCCGATTTCCTAAAATTTTCATTTTTCCTCTCTTTCTGACCTGTTTTTTTTTGTCTTGGGACGACCTAGGGAGTCCAGGGACTCCACCAAATTATGTCCTTCGCCTTTCTCCCTTGCTTGCATCGACTTGTGGGACTATTAACTCTGAACTGGGATTATCCTCTTGATTTTTTACCAATTTTTTACAGTCATTTCCCCCCCTTGCGTCTATTTCCCTGGACACTAAGTCCACGGAGCCTCCAACCTAGTACACCCCTCACTCGTTCTTTTCCGAGGACACTCAATACTGTTCAATACTGTACTATTTCAACCAAGTGTTCATTAATTTCGGAATTTTCACTCACCGGGATGGCCGATAAATTTTCTTTTGAGTCGTGATTTTTAACGACCTCAGAAAAATCGGCCGTCACCTGAACACTTGGTCGAAATAGTACAATATCTCCCTCCCTGTTTCATAGTTCAAGACACTCAATATATGCCTCAGTATCTTTACTTTGTTCATGACAGGACTGGTGTTCAACTTCAAATTTGGTATGCATATCTGTCTCTCGCTGGCACTCCGAATTCTTCTTGGGGGGCTCTTCATTTTGCTCGTAGTATCCAGGATTGGAGGTGAACTTGAGCTATTTTCTTGACTTTTCCCCCCTTCCAATTTTCTTCGGTGTGGAGCCTAAATAACTCCGAGATACTTTTCTTTGTTGCGCTACCTCTTTCCCCCCTTGCAATCCTCATTGGCCACAAGCCCAGGGAGCTATCTAGTAACTCTTCACTCATTCATATTCAAGACACTCAATATATGCTTCACACCTACTCACCCGCGTCTTCCGCGGCAACTACAGCCCCCTTGTAAGCAGGTTTCGGCCTGGGACGTAGCCGGACAACAGACCCCGGAGCAGGACTTGTGTCCATCTCTGCACCTTGAAACTCCGCCTCATCATCAGAGACCGCCTTCTTTCGAGACGAACCCTTTTTCGCGCCGCGGCCCCGCCCACGGGAAGCTCCACGCTTTGGAACTGCCCCCGTTTTCGGTTTGGTGGCTTTCACCTTCTTCTTAACAGGGACCTCATCACCCTCCGACTGCGAGCTTTCGCTCTGCGCGTCCACCGCCGGGAATTTCGAACCGTGTTTCCGCTTCTTCCGGAACTCGGAGACCACTTGTTGCAGGCGCTTGCTGGAATACGCGTGGCGTTTCCGTGGGACAGCACTCCCGCTTCCATTGGCATCGAAAAATCCGTCCAGGTCTCCCTGTTTGTTGACTGCGCCGCTCTACGGGAGTGTGAGTTGTGGTTTGCAGCAAGACGGAGTTTATATACCTGCCCGCGTTTGCGGATTTTCTGGATGACAGGTAGCAATAAGTCGTCTACTTTTGCAGGCGACCAGCTAAGCTCGGCATAAAGAAACCTGTACCACATAAGACTTCAAGGACTGAATAAGGCGTTCACTACATACTCTCGGAGACCATCTAGATCAGGCAAACCCCACTTAAAGGGTTCATCCGAATCGTCGACGGTAGGATGATAATAAGCATCCCGCTGGAAAACGTGAGGCGATTGAGATACGAGGATAGAGCGACAACGTACCACAGTGGGATTGGGCCATTCTGGAGGAAGGTAGAGATCTTTGAAGTTCTTCTTCTGTAACAAAATAGTGAATACAACGCCGCGTATAAGTCCTGCAATACTCGCAAATCGCTTTCGGAATGTAGACTTATTGTCCTCCGGCCTGTCCTTCCCAGTCTGTACCTTCGTCCACCAATCTTTGAATTTATGCAGCCCGTCCTGGCCCGGAAACTCCCCGAGAAGTTCCATCGCCACAACAGGCCCAATGCCCGGAAGCCCGTCTACATAATCACTGCCGAGGAGGTACGCGAGCCTGATCAGCGTGTCGCGATCCAACCCCAGCTCGCGACTCAGGTCAGAGAGCATGAAACACTCGACCGTTTTCGACTGATTGAACATATTCTTAAAAACACGTTGGCTGCCGAATAAAAACACGTCTGAATCGTCTGTGATCACGCCGTTCACCAGGCCCAGATGGACGAGCTCGGCGCATTGCGCTTCAGCTTCCATCGGCGCGGTGATGTACGGAATGCCAAATAAGCTCAACATCATCTGCTCGCCGCTCAGTAAAAGCTCTTAAGTCAACACAAGACACACACCATGATTTGCGATATCATTTGCTGGTTGATGTCTTCCGAATCGCGCATAGCCGCTTTCTTCTGCGTGTCCAGGACCTTGATTTCGTCGTCGATTTCGCGCCGGACTTCATCCAGGTCCTTGCCCTTGACGTGTGACATGAACTGCGCGAATTCGCCCTCCTCCGCGTCGACGTCCATCTCTTGGGCCGCGTCCCAGTCTTCAACGACCGGCGATGAAGACCGAGGCTGCGGCTGCTCCAACCCGACAATCGGCGATGGAGATCTTGACCAGCCGCTTATTGCTTCATCGTCGTCTACGTCTTCTCGAACAGGCGGCGGAGGGACAACTTCCTTGTCCATTACCACAACGTCTGGAGACGCGTGCCGCAGTACAGGAGGCTCTACAGACACTCCCTCGACGAGTGTTTGAGAGTCACTAAAAGGTGTGGACTCCGGCGCAAGGGTAGGACGGCTGAAAAGAAATGGGTCGGACGGGGTTTCGTCGCGAGCCACTTCCATGACCGTCACCGCTGCAGCTGTAGACGACGAAAGCGGAGCTACTAAAGTGGCCCGTTCGCTATCTACAGGAAACTGTTCCTTCTCAGTGGACGTACGCTGAGCAGAAGTTCCAACATTCGCCACAGGGACTGCGGTGGACGTTGTGGACGTTGTGGACGTTGTGGACGTTGAGAAAACAGGAAGCACTTCTTCCATCTCCTCGTCAGAAACATTGCTAGGATCTGCCATTTGAGGAGCGGGAGGAGACGAGGGCATCGCTTTTGGTGGAGGCGAAGGAGTCTTCGGCTGCAGTAAAAACGGCGCACGGACTGCAAGAAGAATTTCTTCCATCTCTTCGTCAGAAACATTGCCAGGATTTGGCTCTATTTGAGGAGCGGGAGGAGGTGAGGGGATCGCCTTCGGTGGAGGCGAAGGAGTCTCCGGCTGCAGTAAAACCGGCTTCCCAAATGTCGGCGTTGCAGACTCTGCCGGTACCTCAGGAAGAACTTCTGTGGCTCCTGTACTCGCATGAAGCTGAGGCCCTGGCTGAATCGCAGGCCACGACAAAGGCGAAGGCGCTGCTTTCGGTCGTGCAGGCGGAGTGGCCTGGAGCAAGACTGGTTCCCCAAACAAAGAACTCGAAGGCTTTGCTGAGGGTTTCGTCGGCGTCCGCACGGGCCCCGCGTTTGCTATCGACAGCGCGGTCTCCAGGCGATTACCGTGTAGAAAGACATCATCGTCGGGGAGCGGGTAATGAGCGATAGTGTCTGAAGACTTGCGTGATGTAGAGTCTACTATCTTAGAGGAGGACGCGACAGCATTGACCATCGCAGGCCGGCGCGGACGGTGTGCCGCATTGGCTTGATCGATGGATTGCTGAATCGCCAAGGCGAGTTCACCGTCGTCGTCGTCGTCAATTATGGGAACTAGGTCGTTGGCGTCATCGGAGTCGAAAAGAGGCCGGGGGACTGTGGCCTCCGGATTTTTTCTCTGCGGAGCGAACTTTTTCTGAGGCAGGTGGCGATTGGCGATAGCCGCAAGATTCATAGACCTTTGGAATTCTTGCAAGTCGGCGTCCGGTACACCAGCTTGAGGGCTAAATATCAGCGAATTAGCGCCATCACGCTAGCACATTAAAAATAGGCGAACATTGGAACCTCTTCCATATCCTCGTCGCTGTCTCCATCAACAACATCATCCTCTTTGTCACTGTCCTTGTCAATTTCTATTGGCTTGTCCCGCGTCCCGTCGTCTCTAATGCCAAGAATCCACCCGCCCTCGTGACCCTCGTTCTTTATCAACAGATACTCTCTGTTACGCTCGCTGGCAACGCGAACAGGAATAGTGAGATTGGCCTTTCCGATGCTGTCGGTGGTCATTAGTAGCTGCTGAGTCAAGGTGTTTCGTTGCCGCAGATTCTGGATCTGCTGCTTCGAAAAGTCGAGGGGTGTGGGAGCGCTCCTGAGCATGTTCTGCAACCGAACGTAGGATGTTTGCCGGGATTTGAGGCGGAGGTCTCCCACTATCTCGTACTGGACTTCGGTGGGAAGCTCACGAAATGCAGGGGAAGTAACATCGAAGTCTTCCGGGCGCATGTCCTCTATAAAGCTACGGAGCTCTTCCTCGGTAGCGAGACGGGGATCGGGCACTGCAGCACGAGTTGCAGACGCAACGGCAGCCTCAAGGTCGATATCCGGAAGGCGGTATGGATCATGATCATGGGCCTTGGGCTTGCTAGGTGATACAGACGGCGGCTCGGCTAGCTAAATTTCGGGCAGGCGTCCTGGCCATCGATGGGTCAATGTCCTCGAGGTACACAGTGTTATCATCGAGCACGACAGGACCGGTTGGCGCTTTGCCTTTGCCTTTGCCTTTAGTTGGTTTTCTGTCCAATACATCAGACTCGGAGTGTCAGATATAATAAAAATGCATACTGCGCAGCGCTCGCGTGATTCACAGCCTCTCGCCTCAGCTGAGCAGCAAGGAGTTTTTCAGCGAGCTTAGCATGGCTTATGGCTGCTCCGGTCTTCTTCTTCTTCCTTTCATTCTGCACAGAATCAGCAGGGTCAAAAGATATGAGAACAATTTCAACTCACAAGGGTATTCCTCTTCAGAGCTGGAGCACCTCCGTCAAAAACAAAGACAGGTTTAATCCCGTAAAACAAGAGTTTAGCAATTCGCCGCAGAAAGCCAAGAACATGGGCATTCGAGAGTGCGCGCCCGTCATTGTCGCGCATAGTGGCCTGGAATTGGTAGATCCAGATACTCGAGTCGATGGCCATTACCTGGCCCTCCATGGTCTCGAGCCTATCCATTCCTCAGTCCCTGAAGAAATGATAACGCAAAATAAATC